TTATTAGTATTACCTAATGGAGTTATAACACTGTAAGTCATATCAATACACTCAGTTTTATGTGCAGTAGATCTAGGCTTCATTTTAACACTGCTTCTTGATTTTCTCCTAATAACAGGAACCCAATATATAAATAAATAACTAATAGTGTAATCCTTACATGTATACAATGAACAAAGCAAGAGATACTACTATGATTCCAGTTATAAGTATAAGTACAAGAGCTACACTGACACCAATAGCAACTCCTAAATTAATAATATTAAAACATAATAAACACATAACTGACACACCTTGATTAGAGCCATTGTCAGATACTGTATTTGTTGGCATACCTATTCCAATCTCTACTTCCTTAGGATCACTGAAGGGACCTCTTCCAATAGAATTGATAGCAGCTACACTGATGTTATACTCAGTACCAAATACTAGATCATTCAATATGATATATCTCTCAGTACTGGTGAGGTTGTATGTGATACTACTGTTACTGATAATCACTGTATAGCCTGTGATTAGACCATTACGCTGAGAACAATTGACCTCATTCCAAGTGAATCTATTAGCTGTAGAATTAACTTGTAATACTTGAATTGATGAAGGCCAACCACTAGGAACTACAAATCACAATTAAATTAATATAATAAAATATTTAATATAATTACTTATTGCTTCAGTTTGTACAGTGCTCATGCTTAATTCAGATCCTCCTAGTACATTACCAGCTCTCACTGTGATGGTATAGTTCATACCACTGTACAGACCTGTTAATGTATAGCTGTATGTTGTAGTGGACTGATGAGGACCAACAGAGACTCTCTCATTCACTGATAAATCAGGACAAGATGGAGTATAGGAGATGGTGTAGTATGTTACATAGTTGTCACTACTGGGAATAGTCCAGTTCACTGTAATACTAGTGGTTGAGACATTAGATACTGACAGACTAGTTACTGGACTAGGAACTACAACAAATATCAATTACACTTTCTCAATCATAATAACTCACCATCAAATCTTAACACTGTTACTGTACTATTAACTGAAGGAAGATCTATATATGAGTACACACTGATGGTATAGGTACTCATTGGTGAGAGATCTGTTAGTACAATTTCATCTTCACTGGTAGATACTACATTCCTGGTTACACCTCCAGTAGTATACTCAATCACATATCCATTAGTCTCTGATAAATTGGTCCAGTTCACTTTGATACTAGTAGCATTTAATATAAACCCTCTCACATTATTTGGAGGACCACTAGGAGCTAGAAAAGAGACAAAGGTATCTACTATTGATTAAAGTATAATCATACCATGTAATATCACAGATTGACTGTAGTTGACTCCTCCAATCATTGCTATACAGGTAACATTAACTGACACTCCCAGTGGATCAGGATATACCAGTAGTGTGTTGTTGTATGTCAGGACATCAATTGATGAATAGTTTGAGTTACCTTTCATCACTCCATTCACTAACCAGTAAACATCAGTTGAAGGATTTATATCAGTAGTTGTGAGACAATCAATACGATATTGAGTGTTATTGAGTTGTGTAATGGATGAGACTAGTGTCCAATTGATTGAATTAATAACTAAAAATACATCAACAATGTTACAAGTACATTAAAAGGTGCAGTAGCAATACCAGGTAAAGTCTGTACACTGATTGTACTAGCAGGTCCCAGTAATTGTTGATAGGCTCTGACTGTGATGCTATAAGTTGTTCCTCCTCTCAGTCCATTCAGTGTGATTGTATTATTACTACTTCCCTCCACCTGTACTGTCTGCACAGTGTCTGTGTCACTAGTGACATTGACTACATATCCATCAGCATCAGATGAATTAAGTGCAGTCCAACTGGCAGTGATAGTGGTAATCGTCTTGTTGATCTTGGTTAGAAAAGAGGGAGCAGTTGCTGGTACTAATATTATTGGTAGCAAGAATTATTAGCATTCATAAACATTACCTTTTACAATTACATCACGTGTTCTAGTTGGTTGACCAGCAACTTGAACTACACACTGATACATTTGATCTCCAGTGGTTGATTGACTGATTGATCCACTACTGACATTCATTCCATCCCATGTGATATCAACAGTATATCTTACTGTGTTGCTACTACTAACTAACACAGTACCATTACAATTACCATTAGGATCATAACATCCAGTGTGACTAGCCAGTGCAGCAGTACCAATGCTCATATTAATACCATAACCATAGTGTCCAATTTTAGTACAATTCAGTTCGTATTCCTGAGGATATACTGTCATATCAGAAGGAAGATCAGCAACAGTAAATGATTCTATCTCTGCAAATCCTACAAATGAAAATTATTACATCAGTAAGTGATTATAGTCTCCTCTTACTGAATATATTAGCAAAGATGATGTTAGTGTTAGGATCTGAACAATCAGTAGGTAGACAACACTTGTACCAGCCTTCTTGAGTCACTGATAGTCCCTGAGCAAGATAAAATTTGAAAGTAGCATCAGGTAAAGTGACATTAGTACAACGAAAAGGATCACTGGCACTATTACTGTTACAGTCAACAGGATTATCAGGATCAGCAACTCTAACCCACTGACCAGTAGTTAGACTAGTACCAGGTAACACACATGATATAGCTTCATTAACCGACTTGACACTACTATCCCAAAAATATGATCCATTAGTATAACAGTTTCCATTAGATGCTAAATAGATACCTATAAAATTGATAATAATTATAATGATCTATATTGAAATAAAAATACCTTCTTGCTGACAATGAGTGAAGACACTGATTGTACTAGCAGGTCCCAATAATTGTTGATAGGCTCTGACTGTAATGCTATAAGTTGTTCCTCCTCTCAGTCCATTCAGTGTGATTGCATTGCTACTTCCCTCCACCTGTACTGTCTGCACAGTGTCTGTGTCACTAGTGACATTGACTACATATCCATCAGCATCAGATGAATCAAGTGCAGTCCAACTGACAGTGATAGTGGTAGCTGTCTTGTTGACCTCAGTAAGAGAAGAGGGAGCAGTTGCTGGTACTACATGCACATACAGCAAGAGTAAAATGTTAGGTAATATTAAATTTTGCTCTTGATAGCTGAAATAATACAATAGTTAATATGGCATTACCTTTTATAGTTACATTACGTATTCTAATTTCATGACTATAAGGATGATCTGCTACCCTGCACTGATACATTTGATCTCCAGTGGTTGATTGACTCATTGATCCACTACTGACAGTCATTCCATCCCATGTGATATTAACAGTATATCTTACTGTGTTTACAACAAGACCACTTAACACAGTACCAAAACAAGTGTTACCATCATCATTACAAAATGATCCAGGGTAATTAGTCAGTGTAGTACCACCAATGCTCATACTAATACCATACACTAAGTGTCCAATTTTAGTACAATTCAGTTTGTATTCCTGAGGATATACTGTCATATCAGAAGGAAGATCAGCAACAGTAAATGATTCTATCTGTGTAAATCCTATAAATGAAAATTATTACATCAGTAAGTGATTATAGTCTCCTCTTACTGAATATATTAGCAAAGATGATGTTAGTGCTAGGATCTGAACAATTAGTGGGTAGACAACACTTGTACCAGCCTTCACCAGCTGCCCCAAGAAAGCCATTAGATGGATTTATATGAACACTGAGACTAGCACCTGACCCAGTAGTACATTGAACATTTGATTTGTTACCACCATTACAAGGAACTGTTCCATTAGGACCAATCCATTGTCCACCATCCAGAGTAGCACCAGGTAATCCACACTCTAGAGGAGTTGGTCTGATACTAGCATCCCAAAAATATGATCCGTTAGGATAACAGTTTCCATTATGCCTCAGGTAGATACCTATAAAAACCTATACAGTTGTTATTATACACATCCAGTGTCTTACCTGAGGAAGGTGGACACGATTGACTAATAACTTCACTGACACTCAACAAGATAGCTGCTGTTACAACAAGTAACATTGCCATCTTTGTATAGATACTATAATTGTTTTAGCTTTGAAACACCTTTAAAAATAATGATTTTAAATAAACCAGGTAATGTAAAGATAAACAATACTCCATTTAAGCTATAGCAACCAAAGTCTTAGTTGTTTTAAACTTGATGAACCGTTGACTAGTTGATAAACACAGGAGGTTTATTTAAGCTTACCAAGATAGCTCTCCCTCCTCTTGTAAATGTGATTATCCAAGTCACTGTTCTTTCCTCTCTCCTACTTTTTCTTTCTGTCCTGTTTTTTGTGTAACAAATAAAAATCAGTTAAACTTGAAGCATGGCATCACATGCATGCTCTGCTTTTATGCACTATTTCTGTTAATGTATTCTGAAATTCTACAACAAACAAAGAACTATTATAATTATTTGCAAGTCTTCTAAATGAAATAATTAAAACTGAAAGTTCCCGTAAGTCTCATTCATCTGAAGGTACGTGTCAATCACATCATATATGGAAGTATACTGCTCCTGTAAAGAGATAATATCATTAATACACTAGTACCCACTCATATATCTAGTATATACCAGTGTAGTCACAGCTCCTGGTTTACTCCTTCTCACAGCTTTAGTCACTTGAAACACATCCACTACACCTTCTGCCTTACACTGTTCTAGACCAATACTCACTGAACAATACACTCCTGAACGACTCACTGTATCACTACACACACACACAATAATCAATTACTCATCATTAGTCTATCAGTATAACTCTCTCTCTTACCTACAGTGTACCACTACTGGTCCTCCTCCAATCTTTTGTTGTCTGTGTATAACATCATCAATAACTTGTAGGACAGTATGTGGTTCCCTAACAACTCCATCTTGAGGCCAATCTGTCACTTGCAA